GAAATTGACGTCTCGTCCAGCACCAGGCTCCAGGTCAGTCAGAGGAGGGTCGTCTTGGAGAATAGGGCAGCGACTTACCGGAGGAAAGGTAGACTTAATAGCTTAAGATAACTCAGAATAGATTTTACAAGTTAAATAGACATTCGCAAAATACTGAGGGTAATTGGGCCCGGTGTCAACTCAGTGACGCTAACGTGAGTAAACGAAGTGATAGTATTAAGCTAACATCTACACGCCATGATTGAACTGCTGACTGCATCTTCAGATCAGCGTGTTCAAATATTTCTCTAAGAAGAGAAAGACACCTGATGAAGATGACGCTAGCCAGGTAGCATTAGCCTTTTACTGACTCATAAATGATGATGGTTCGGTAAAAAAAATAGTGATCACACAGTAATCAGATGTGACGTGGGTGTAAATGATCTCACGTTAATGTTTACCGTATAAGACCAGTAACATCAGACAGGGAGGAGCAGTGGAGCAAAGTGAAGGAGAGCCGAGTGGAGGAGCAGGAGAGAGAGATGAGAGTAGAGGAGGAGAACCTAAAGGGAAGCTCAGGCTTCAGGATGGGACCCTACATGGGCTGAAAGAAATAGCTGCTTCCACTCATGGCTCTACCACACTGATCATGGGGAGTGTCCATGAACCTTTTGTCCTTTATTATTTTATTGTATAATATACATGTCAATATTTATTTTAAATAAATAAAAACTAATAAATAAATTCAGTGTATTTCCATTGTAAGACAATGATCAATAAAGTCACTGTACTCTGTCCTGATAGGAATGATCTGAATCAGGCTGCAGGGGATCAGCTGCAGCCTGGATGCTGCTGAGCCTCTCAGAGAATTTACCTACAACAGAGCCTCAGAGCTCTTCGGTAAAAAAACCCCAGAAAAATTCATTGTTCTGAGCCGTAGTGTAACTTTGCCACTGATGCTACAGCCCCATCAAGAAATTATTATTTATTGTTTTTGTTTTTATTTATTTCATTACATTTTATTTTTTAATTTACATTCAGTCGTTAAGAAGTCATTTTCAGCTGGCCATTCAATAAATAGGTTGTAAAAGTAAAATCTGCAGTCAAGTTTCATTTGTTTTCGTGGCCATGGCTCCTGGAGAGCCTGCTGCCCTCGCTGCTGGAAACAATCCTAAAAGAAACACTGAAGACGATATACATGCTGCATTTATATCTTTGCTTGGCGCACATGAGCCACTGAGAAGCGTATAACTTTAAACATCTTCTGTGCAGCTCTACTCACAGACAAACAGAGTGAGAACGGTTGCACCGATGCTGCTGCAGTTCATCCTTCTGCTCCTACAATGTCAAAGGATATATTCTGCAGCGAGTGAACGCTCTGTTCTTGAAGTTGACGTGTTGGTGGCAGGAAAAATGGACAGCTGGGGGATCTGAGTGACTTTAACGAGGACCGAATTGTGACGGCTTGACGAATGGATCGGATCATCTCCAGAGCAGCAGGTCTTGCGGGTCGCTCCCAGTGTGCATCGGGCCTGTGTATTCTGGTTCCAGCTGCTGCAGCACGGACTGCAGATCACCTGAACGCTGGCTGTGACAGAACGATATGTGAGCACGCAGAGCACTGCAGGCTCAGAGGAAAGATACGTCAAGGTTCTTCTGGGAAATCTTAGGTGTTGGCGTTCACGTGAATGATGTGCCTAAACTTTGCTGCAGACCACATAGATGTACCTTCATGTATTTCCTAATAGCAGTAGACACGTTCAGCAGGATGATACTCCCTGCCACACTCTAAAAACATGACAAAGAGTTCAGGGTGTCCTCTGAATTCTCCAGATATCAGTCAGTTTGAACAGGTCCCAACCTTCCAAGTTATAGGACCTAAACAATCTTCTGCCAGCTTCTTGGACACCTTCAGACATCTTGGCAGGTCAGAGCTGTTTCTGCAGCTCACTGATGCATATTTCTTTAGCCTCTCTGTAGAATGAGGAAAATAAACCCATCCATCCATCCATCCATCCATCATCTATACACCACTTAATCCTCACTAGGGCCGTGGGGGGCTGGAGTCTATCCCAGCTGACTCAGGGTGAAGGCAGAGGACACCCTGGACAGGTCACCAGTCTATCACAGGGCTACACTTAGAGATGGAAAATAAACCCTAGTTACATTTTGTTTTGCAGCTTTCCTCATAAAATATTGCTTAAGCAGAAGTTCAGCCTGATTTCAGAAGCTCCTCTGGCTCAGTCAGAATTTGGGGCCTGATCAAAGCGCTACTTGATGCTCCCTCCTGAAGCTGCCCGCCCAGCTCCATCATCCCACATCCAGCCTGGCATTACTCAAGCTGATCCGCCTCGTATTAGCAGATTCATTGTTCGCCTGCATGTCGGTCGCGTGGTGGGCCGATGTGGCACCTGAGCCACGAGGCAGAGCGATGCAGGTGATTAATGCTGGCAGGACCGAGTTGATCATAAATAAACAACCCGGCCGCCCAGTCGCTGTTGTCGAAGCAGCCTCCTGCCATCTGCTGCGGAGATAACATTGCTGCTGAGTGTTTGTCGACATCAGCATGACGTGAAGATACACAGGGAACTAGTTTCTGAGTTGTGTGTATGATTGTGTTTACAAAACGCAGTGATCCTGGGTGCACTGCATCCTACATGAGCAGGTGTACTTCACAGAGCACGGGTCAGGCAGAACAGGATGGATGTCGCTGAAACTTCCCTCCTGCGCATGAACCAATTATTTCATCTGGCTTCACAAGTTTGTTTTTTTGTGCGTGTGTATATTTTAAATGTTTCATTTCCTGCTCATTACTTGTTAATTATTTACGGCCCACAAGGCTGCACAGATGAGGAGGATGCAGCTTCATAGAGGGGATCAGCTGGACACACGACACCCTCTGCTGGTTACACCAACACAACTTTTACTGTGTGCAGCGGATTGCAAAGCAGATTAAAGCGGAATGAGGAGTTCAGTCATCGCACAGCAATCGGTACTGTAGCTCGTCTTTAGAACCATCAAGTCCCATTTTCTGTGAAAAAAAAGTCAAATATCTGTAATCCTTCAGTACAAGACTGATTTCACCAAAATGCACCACAGAGCGCCACAAGAAATGATTCCTGCCTTCAGATTGTACAGCTGAGTAGGTTTACGTTGGACTTTAGACTTTTTAATAATGTGCAATCACCCAAATGCAGAATGTACATTTATTTTTTGTGTTTAGATATATTTTATGTCATATTAACACTTATGTGTATATTTTTATTATATATTTTTACTTTTTCTACTTCTTTGAACACTTCTGATCGGGAGCATCTGTAACAGAAAGCAGTTTCCTCTTAGGGATCAATAAAGCATTTCTGATTCTGATTAACAAAAATGTGTCTGATTTTAAACCAGAAATGTATGCTTGAAAAGAAGAAAAATAAAATAAACTGTAAAGTGAATATATGATGGTTTTCCATCTTCCTGTCTCTCATGGTTTTGGTTTTCTGACCTATAATTTTAATCTGTGTTCATTTAAAGCTTTAAGCTGCGAACAGGCTGGAAAATATGCACGATATCTTACAACAAAAAAAAGATTTCTTGTCACTCTGAAAATTCAGAATTTCAAAGGCTCTGAGCACAATAAAGTGGGTTCGAGGAATGTTCTCCTTGTTGGCGACGAATGTGCCAAATCTGACAGCCGTCCTGTCACATGCTGCTCAAACTCCCTGAGACTTTTTTTTAATAAAATGAGCTTCTAACATGGAGGATTAATTCCAAAGCATCTCATTAAATGACCTGTCAGACACAGATGTGCTTAATACCGTTAATACTGGTGCTGCTCAGTTTAAGATGGACCGCTTCCAGCTCCGCCTGTTGTCTCTGCTGCTTCACTGAAACAGAGCCGTCGTTGACATTATTAGTTCCACTTGGTCTTCAGCAGCTGTGACAAGAGGCTGGAAAAGGAGAGTTTACAAAGAAGTAGTGTTTTGGATTCCAGAGTTCCACATCAATGATTTGTTGGAGTTTATGCTCCTGAAACACACTCTTAACTTTGCTATAGTCCTATTTCGCTTTTTATTTCTATCTGTGTCTGTTAAAACTCCACAAAGGTCATCGATTAAACCCCTAAAAACTCATCTTTGTGCATCAAATTCACACAACTTAAAGTTTTGTCCTTGAAAATAATCCCTTCCAGCCTCAAAATGGCTTCGATTTAGCTCTACGTAGTTGCTTTGGCTAGAAAGAGTAGATTTGTTAAGTGTCGCTGCAGCTCAGCACACCAGCTCACCCGTGACTCTGTTCAAACGCTGAAAACTACGTTACACAATGAAAAGTTGTAATATTGGAGTAATTCAACAACAGACGTACATGTTGATAGGATCAAATCAAATCAAATGTATTGTCATCTTGCTGAACATACACAGGAGTAGATGAGAGCGTTTCTTCAGGATCCAGTAACTTAAAGCAATTTAAATAAAGAAGTGTTTGCATATAATGAAGCTGCTGATCATTCTGGAGGTTCTTCCAGTTTGTGAAACCACAGAAATTTAAATCCATGTTTTTGGTAAGTTGTAAATTCAAGGTGGAATCGCTCATTGTTTTCCTCATAATAACATAAAAACATCATATCGACACAAACCTGGTGGAAAAAAACAACAAAAAACTGAATTTTTACCAGAGAGGGTCTTTAAAATGTTCTATATTTGGCCTCTTATAGAATGAAATCTAAATCTTAATGGGACTTTTTGTGGTTGAATCAAACAACATTTACAGTCTACTTTTCAAATATCTGTTCAACAAACTCACAAGACACTAAAGAGAACTTTAAAATGCTGTTTGCACCTCTAACTACTGCTAGCAAGACTTTTCACAGCAGACATTTTGACTTGTCATCGCAGGAGAAGAGCAGGTGATGATAATAAGCTGCTTCTCGTCTATTCCTGCGTCCCAGAAACCTGCTTTATGATTCACACCGTTTCCTCCTGTGACATGAAAAAATCACTGCTGGTGTCATTTAAAAGAAGACATGAATGCCTGGTCTTTAAAAACATTTTATTTAAAAGGGAATACTGAGCGTCACCATCTCGTTCCCACACCACCAATGGTCAATTTTTATGTGCCGAGAAATAAAAGCTGGTCTCGTTGCCGTCTCTACATATCATACAGGTCTGACTGATCACAAACAGATGCATATTGCAGCAAATGAATACATGATTGTTTTTGTGGACACCATGCAGACAAACTCAGACATGACAGGATGTTATATATGGAACATAACATTACAAGGAGCACATTATTGTTGATAAAGGCAGTTTGCACAGTTTCTCTCCTCAACACACACTTAATACTTTTCAAAGTTGCACATTTACTCAAACACACACACACACACAGATTCACAGAAACACATTTATAACAAGACAAACAGATTGGATTTGGTCCCAACCAACCAGAGGGCCGCCATCACTGGCACGCAAGGAATTATATATGAAAACTGGGAAGTATTCGGTACCAAACACAGGAAAAAAAAAGAAAGAAAAAACAACACATGGATACGTTTCACTGATAAAAGCTGCAACCCATATGACTATTAAATGAGGGCAGCTTTGGGTTTCTCTGAGGTTATTTGTCACGCCCACCTCCAAACACTTTCCGCTACAATACAAATTAAAACGTGAGTATATTTCTGTGAAGAGTCAGATGTCTGTGCCCAAAATCTTACTCTGAGATCATCAAACCACCACAAATTACAAGGATTGTACGCTGCACTTCGATTTCTTTTGCTTTTCTTCTATTCTTTGACATCTTCAAAGCGCCGACCGAACAATTTATTCCCTTTACTCAGAGCTGACTTTTATATGAAATGTAAAAGAAAAAAAAAAAAAGGAAAGAAAAAAGCCGTTTCAAACCAAAGGCATATCTTTGTACACATTCTCACACATATAACACATTCTCTTCTGGTATATTACATATTTATAATGCGAGGGTAACTAGTTTGTTTTTTGCCATACAAGGAAAACATCTTTCCATCAAAAAGATTAATTGCACGTTTTTGTTGGCTAAAATATCTTAGTGACACAAAAAAAACATTGAAAATGGCACCGTTATTAAAAATAGGTCAATATATAAACACAATTGTACATTTGCTTTTCTCAAACTTTTACAAAATGAGAATTTTTTTTTCCCTTGGATTCAAAAAATTTAACAAAGGAGCTGCTGAGAATGTAAAAAAAAACAAAACAAACAAAACGCTGTGTACAGGATGATGTGTTTCTAAAACAGACCCTTGCTTTTCTTCAGATTCTTCTGCTTCCAGTTTGGCAGGGCATTGAACTCAACTCGGCTCATCTCAAGAAGCGTCTGGAAAACACGGAAGTAAGAAGACAAATAAATGTCAGTTCAAGGTGATTATATGTTGTGGGACAAATGCTGTGAGAAGTTCTTTAGGCGATGGCCAGTCGTGAGTTAGCACAATTAACATGAATCATGACTTTGGCTTCCGACAGTGAAATGAACGTGATTCACTGTGATACTGACATTTAAATGTGTGCTCTGCTTAAAGAAAACTCTGGCACACTGGGTACAGTTTTATTTATATTTGACCTTAAGGAGATTCTCTGAAATTACGTGAGGAAGAACCTTATATTAAGTCTAATTTTATGCAGATTTGCTCATTGGCAGGATTGAAGCACAAGATGGAGGTGAAAGCAGTGCTGGTTGCTAATGTGAAGCTGCAATAAAAAATGTAGTAAATGTTCCTTAAATCGATAATTGTGATGAATAATCATGACTTAAACACTGATCAAAATGATGACGATAACCATTTTGTCCATAATCATGTAGCCCAGGATGATAAACTGTAGCTCTCTGTATGTATGGATATTCAGCACATTTTACATCTTTCTACATTCACATCAGCTCTATCAGCTTTGTCACCTGCCTTCTCACAAAATTAGGTCCTATTAAATCACTCAGATCACGTAATATGCAAGTCAGACGACACCCAGCGTGTCCTACCCTGAAGTCCTGGTCAGACAGGTAGTCCTCCAGACGAAGGGGATCCACTCCTTCAGGCAGCGGCTTCCTGGTCAGTTCCTCGATGGAGTACTGCTGCTTACTGAGCTTGGACAGCGCCTCCTTCACCAAGGTCACTTTGTTCTTGGAGTTCTCGGACTACAAACATATAGAAGTCACTGTTATACCAGGACAGACCTGCATCATCATCTTCATGCTTACTGGCACTGATTAGTAACACAAGTGTTTGATAATAAAAACAGAAATATCACAATGAAAAAACAAAGGTCGCCCACCTTTGAAGTGATACTGGAGTCCCTCTCCCAGTATGGGAAGATGTTGGTGAAGGTCAGGGGTTCACAGCCTGCCATGACCAGATAGGCCAGAGGGGGGCGCCGAAGATTCTTCTCTGTAAATCAAACAGATGAACAACATGCATTTAAGCACCAAAAGCAGCAACAGTTTGAAGACCAGCTCTGAAAGTAAGTCGTGTCAGTTGAATGTAAAATAAGCACAAAATGAAAACAATGAGACACACAAATGATTATTTAGATTAGAGAGAGCAACTTTAAGGCTTTATTTCAGACTCACATAAATAATCTACAGCCCGACCGATTCTGGATTTTTGGGCCTGATGCCAATACAGGTTTTCAGAGAGCACAAAATTCTGATACTGACAAATCAGCCGATGTTATTAATAGATGTTGATTTTAATGCTGTAGTGACACTGACTGACACCTTTTCACTGCAGAAAGACAAATGCTGGATGAAAACTGAATTGTTATACATAAAAAAGTACACTGAATAAGTTTTCTCCCTTGTTTTTCCTTTTATATCCGTCACATTGATCGCCAATGATAATCAGGATCTTATGAAATGAACCGAACCTGTCTGTCTACATTTAGGGTGCAATGAAAAATCCATCCATTATCTATCCACCACTTAATCCTCACTAGGGTCATGGGGGGCTGGAGTCTATCCCAGCTGACTCAGGGTGAAGGCAGGGGACACCCTGGACAGGTCACCAGTCTATCACAGGGCTACACTTAGAGACAGACAACCAAGCTCACTCACATTCACACCTATGGACAATTTAGAATCACCAATTAACCTCAACATGTTTTTGGACTGTGTGGAAGGAAGCCGGAGAACCCGGAGAGAACCCACACTGCACGGAGAGAACATGCAAACTCTACGCAGAAAGATCCTAGGTGTCCTCACCGGGATGCGAACCAGCGACCTTCTTGCTGTGAGACAACAGTGCTAACCACTGATCCACCTTGCAACCCACGATGAAAAATACAACTTTTTAAAAAAAATTACCACTTTGGAGAAAATATAAGACATGTATTTCAGCCGTCGTCGGCCGCTTGGCTAAAATGCCTATCGGTGAACTCTGACCTTTGCAGTACTGCAGCACAGTCTCCATTGCACACTTCCTCTCGCTGTCCCAGCGCATCTTAGCAGATCCGGTGCTCTGTGTGTCTTCAGGCTGCCATCCCTGCCACAGATACACCTCCATGCGGTTGTCCAGCAGAAACAGGGCTGAAGAAGTGAGAACACTGGCGTTAGATGAGATGGTGGCCGGGAGCAACAGCAGCAGGTGATATAGTACAGTTATGTTGTCTTCTGGAGCTGCTGCTGAGGACTGAAAGCTGCACATTAAAAATGATAAAACATAATCATCTACAGAGAAGCCCGGGGGACAGTCTGTTAAACACCACTGGAAGTTCTCTGAGGTCCAGACGGGAAGCAGTGTGTAGCTTGATGATGCTGTTCGTTTTTGTGTTGTGCTTTTGTGCGTGTCCTCAGAGGGAAACCTGTCAAACTTTACTCTGTGATTCAGAGGACGACTCAAGGGAACAAAGCAGCAGTACAGCACAAAAGAGTTCAGAGCTAGTATTCTTCCTCTGGCCATCGATGTTGGCAAATGTCCCAAAAGTCAGGAGAAGAAGCTGGTGCGAGCTGTGTGACAGCTTTACTCTGATTTGTATGTAACTTCAGGTATTGCATGATCTGAGTTTTGTTGAAGATGAATGTTTGAGATTTGAATTCTTAGAGTTAATTTCACTTGCAACACTTGCATTATTTAAAGAAAAAAAAATCTTTTAATCCTTCTCCAAAAACGTGTTTACAGCATTACACCAAAACACCAAGTCAGATTTCTCAAAACTGAAAACCTACTTGGCAATTAACTTGATTCTGATTTAGATTTTACAGTCTAAAAAAGAAACATCTACATAAACACAACTTTGGCTGCGATTTATAAAAAATTCATGAGTGTGTGTTACCTGGCTGCGGTGCAGAGTAGAGGCTCTCCTGCAGGAAAGGCATCGCCATGACTCCCTCTGTCACCCTGGCGGGATACAGCTGCTCCTCCCCTTCAAACACCCCGGAGCTGGCACTCAGCCGGAAGAGCCGAGGTGTGTAGTTGTACTTCCCTGGATCTGCAGAGGACACACAAACACACACTCATTCATGATCTCTCTACTTTCTGCTGAACATCTCTGTGGATTTCAGACGCCTGTGTGTGTCGAGCCGCACCTTGCAGCATGCAGTCGTAAGCCTTCTTATCCTGTGGGCCCAGAGCCTTCAGGAACTCTGCAGGTTCAGATCCTTCCTCCACCTCCTCCACTCTCACACTGCTGGTGCTGCTCAGACCCAACTCCGTGGGACACCTTCAACACACAGAAAAGTATTGTTGCACCACACCCTCCACGTTTCCATCCATCACACATCTATTTATCCACCTGCCTGTGCTTTACCTCTGGCTTAGTTTGTCCACAGCTCTTTTGGCCACCTGCTTGGCACTTGCATGTGCTTTACATCCGTGCCACAAGTAGAGATTTCCTTTCTGAGCACTGAGCAGCACCAAGCTGGCACGAGAGCGCAGACTGGCACGCTGGCAGCTCACCTCCACCAGTGAGGCCTCCACCTCCGCCTCACCGCGGACACAGAACAACCTCCAGTCCCCTGCACATGTGAAGCACACAGGAGATGTTTTCTGCCGGAATATTGCCGTAATATTTCAGTGTGCTTATTTGACAAAAAAAAAATTAAATAAATAAAGGAACACATATTCTGGGTTTATCCTTGTGTCAAAGCAATCAGCTAAATCTGACCATTAGTTCAGATGGAACCCAAACAATTTATAAGTTGCCCGATGATATCTGATGATAGCTGCCTGTCACATATATCAGTGTATATGCTGTCCATATTGCAGAAAGAGAAGCTTATATGAATGTTGTCATCATACAGTTTGCTTAGTAGAGCAGCTCTAACTCCACTCTTTACAATACTGTCAGTAGTGTCTGCAGCACATGTAGCAGAGTACATATCACAGATGATGGAGCGGAGTCATGTGGTATCTTCATAGTAAGTTGCTAACTAGTTAGCAAAATACATTGCTGGAAATTTAATAAACAACGACCCAATCATTTCCCCTTATTAATGTTACTTTAACATATAGATGTACAGATATGTGCATGGAGAATTCTGGCTGATATACCAATATCTGAATTTTTTACTATCTAAAAATCTCTAACAGTATTGGCCCCTAGGCTCTAATGATGAATTTGAACCAACATTTTACTGTGAATTAAAGCCTCTTTATTATTTAATAGTACAAATATTTCCATTTGTCATACCTGTGTTGTTGGTGTTGTCGTCTCTGCTGCCCTTATGGATGATCAAGCCTCCCTGGAAGAGCTGCAAGAAGCAAGGCGGCTCTTTTCCTTGACTCACCAACATCTGGACAACGGATCAGAAGCAAACAGATGAAGAAAGACATACGACGTGGATAAACTGCAACCTGAACACACAGGCATTAGTGTTTTAAAACTGACAGAATAATTGAAGCGATGGGTGAACTGGGATGAACTGATACTCACTTGCGACCCCCTGTGGCTGCCCAGCTCCACCGTCATCAGAGCTGAGGTTCCTTTCTCACTGGCGCTGGAGCGACAGCCCTGCCAGAAAAAACAAGCCGTTCTCTCTCTTCCAGGAGCTCCAGCACTCAGCTCACCGGGTTTCTGCCGTTTCCCCACTGACAGAACAGAATAGAACCACAGTAAACCCAGTGGATGCAAACTCCAAAGCTAAAGCCTGTTTTCTTTTCACCCCTTGCCAAGCATAGTTAGAGCACATTTGCCTCTTTCCTTACATCTTCTATAATCGTCTATTGTCATACGTGTATTATTCATAAAGTTTTTCTGCTTTGTTTTTATTACTGTTACACTCCATTACAGAGTAAAATCCTCCTGCCATTAATCTTCTCAAGTTTTTGCTAATTTTTCATTGCATTTGAACCTCCCCTGTCATAAGTCAGTCCACTGTTTATTCTACAAGCTCCCTCTGTGCCAGAAAACATGACTCACCCAGTGTGGTGATAGAGTACTTCCAGCGGATGATATAGGCGTCACACTCGTGTAGTTGGCCGAGGCTCTCTTCTGGCAGTTCCTCTTCGCCGTGCTCTTTGATGTGCCAGGATTCTACGGCTACCGTGGCCAACTCTGCCTGCCTCCCATCCTCCGTCCTCACCAGGCCGTGGCCCCGCTGGACGTCAACCCCCTCCAGAAGTGTCTTCACCGGATCCGGCTCATTGTCCAGCAGGGCTTTGGCATCACATGGCTGCAGCTCCAAGTCAAGCGGGGAGCGTACAGCGGAGTGCACGGGGCTCTGAGCAGACAAACAAACACATTAAGTTAGTTTTAAACTTGTTACTCCGCTCAGGGCAGCAGGAGCGCCTTCAAAACAAATTGTACAGCTGCCTACAGATCAAGAAATTATAAGAAAAATCTAAGCAACAACTGACACCACCTCAAATGAACCCAAACAGTTTTATAAAAGCTGTCACGTTCAAAATAAAACTCCTAGATCTAATCACATCTACCTTGATTTCCTCAGTTTGAGCTGCTTCCTCTTTTTTCCTCTCGGCCCAGTCCAGGAACTTCTCTCTGAACAGGGACGTCTCGTTGTGCTCTGACAAACGGCCAAACAGAGCCCAGCTTGGACGACCGTCTCCCTGCCTGGATGTTACACATATCATTAATAAAACAGAGTCTCATACTTGCAGCTGTACAGGCAGAGCAAAACCACAAGAGGCTGCAATAACACCAATAATAATGTAGCAGACATGCTACATCCACTTTAAATGTGACGTAAAAGGCAGGAAAGTGCCACAATGCAAGCTAAACATATGCTTCATCAGAGCATTCCTTTTACAAATGTGTCAACTGCAGTAAAAATGAACGTCTCATACTCACTGAGGCACATCTTTATTTGTGCAGGAGGCGTCCAAAGGATTGACTCTGCAGTTGCTGTAGTCGTAGCTGCCACTGTAGAGCTGTTTGCCCAATTTGACGGCTACTTTTCTGTCACTCAAAGGCACGTCTTTGCCGTGCCAAACGTACACTTCGCCGCCAAAGTCAAACACTAAGACCTGGTGTTAGGAGCAGACAAGGTAGAGAATGTTTCAGTTGTTTTTGCAGCAATTGCAACACTAGAAACTATTTTAAACATGTACTGATATATGTGTTGTGACTATTATTGATGCCTTTATAGCATCCTAGCAGACTTCGTATACAATTCCTAGAATTCTCTGGTATGAAATGGATCACATTTGTTTTCTACATTCTTTCAAATTTCCTAGACATGAACTATGAGGGGTGTTACCTCTTTCGAGTCGAGCAAGGACACACTTGGGATGGAGGCCCAGGCATCTTCGTGAGGCACCAGTTTGTCTCCCTGGAGTCTGTACACCCCATTAGAATCGACCACCCCACTCTCATACAGCTCGTCCTCCTCTGGCTCCCCTGCCCCTATAACACACACAGAGTACAGAAATCAAGGTAAGCGTATGTGTAGGTTGCCAGAGGGCTGAGTGGTAAGACACATAATCATTCAAATGGTAAACCAGCCCTCAAAACTCAGTGCAGCTGAAGAGTTCTTTGGGGGAAGAAAAGTACCTACTGGTACCAATTACCATTATTAGAGGCACAAACCATGTGTAGCTGAACGGAGGCCAACTTCTCCCTCTGTGTTTCTTTTCACTTAACATAATGATGTGTGATGTACCTCTGTATTTGGTTTTTCCACCCAGCAGGCTCCAGAACTCTTTGGCCCACCGATTCTCAGTGTTGATGCCCTCCTCCAGCACTGTCACCTGAGGGGCCTTACAGCCGAGGTCTCTCTTGGCCTGAACGAACGCCGCCATCTCCGACGCCTGGTCACACAAAGGACATTGAACATTTTACACCCATATACAGGTGGAATGCTTAACACTGAACAGCAAAAAAGGGCACTCCAACCGGGGCTCAACACACTGTTTCAGTTTATTCACACTGTGTGAGACGGGGCGGTTTCAATTAGTGTCAGGCTGTTCGATTTAGATATGAAGCATGTTGACTCGGTCCTAAATTTGTGATGCTGTCTGAATTTGCAGCAGGTTCTTTGTGGTCGTCAAAGCTCCAAATCAACCATTGGTAGATGTGTCAGACTGATATAGGATGACTGAGCAACAACTAACAGTGTAAAAAGGGCCCTTTATGTTAGAAGCCTAGATTTAGGGTATATTGATTAAAACATGGTTTTAACCTCACCAGGTGTTTATCAGGGTGGAAATAGTAAAAACTGTTTACACCTGGCACATCATATAAACAATACACCTGAAAAAAGAATCGCATACTGAACTGAACAGATACAGGGAAAACAACTACCAACAGTAATAGTCAATTGTTAATCAAAAAAAAAAAATCTAAAGTGATGACAATCACATCACACAGTATGATGCCATTTCATCAACAGGTACAATTAGGACAGTTTATAAACTATTTCCTTGTGAATACCTAAATGTACCAAAGTATCACACTTAGCAGCAGCGCTTTCAGTTTGTAAAAAACGTGTACCAGCATCTCTCTCCAGAAAGCCTTCAGAACTAGTGCTCTGATGTTATTCTGTGTGAAGTTCACTACCTTAGCTTTCTCAATGACGTTGGCAAACTCTCCACTCCACATGAAGCAGTGTTTTGGTGTTATAAGAAGGAAGCAGTCGCCGCTGTTTAGAGAGCGAGCTGTGGGTTCCATCAAGCGCACCTGGACGTGCCTCCGACCTACAGACAACAAAGCAGCTTTTACTTCCTTGCAACAATAAGTGCTGATGTAGATCTTCAACTAATTGTTCTTTTTTTATGGTCTATTTACTTAAAATTCTTAAGAAATGACAACGTCTTTGTGGTAATTAATTACTTCTACATTCATTAGAGAGTTGCAGAAAACAGTGAATTCTTTTGTGTTTTCTGACCTTTGATGCGAATAAGCATGAGCTTATTGAACGGCAGTGCACTGTTGTTGGTCACAACTTCGGTGGACTTCACATTGCGCAGGCTGACCTTGCGAAAGTTCTCCTTGCTGGCAAGACCTGCCAAAGCCACGTCAGCCAGGTTGGAGTGTTTTGCCACTGGGTGTGAGAGAAAACACCAGAGACACAATTATCAACACCTGCCATCTAAATATTGAACTGATACTCAGCTTAACTAACTCATAATGTTTTGGGCTGATTTCTGTTTCTTGATGTGACATGTTACCAACAAATAAAGAGAAGTTACAAAGCTTTAGTAGATACCGTCAGAGACAGGGCATGTTTAATAATCACTTTTATCATGTGAGCAATACTAGACAGCACACAGGCAGCTGTGGTGCTCACTTCCTCTTGTGTAAACTGTAAAAAGGTTAACTATGGCCAGTCTAGTCTGAAGAGTGCCTATAGAGGGGAAGTGAATATAGAAAACTGCAAATACATGATATTATTATCAGGTAGCTCACAGGTACAGCTGTTTGTACTCTTAAAACATCGACAGTCTTTAAGCACAACTAATTGATTTCCGGATACTGTTGGCTTTCTGCAGTAATCTGCTTTCTTTAATTTCTTATAAACAAGACATTTTGTCCAACGTATCATTTTATTTCCCACATGAGGTGACAGGAAACTATGAGCACCATTATTCATTGACTGTAAACTAACTAGTTTTTAAAAATATGTTTTTCATAATAAAACTTTTGGTGGTTAATGCTTCAACTACAAAACCTGAAAATCACCTGCAGGTTTGAACGCTGTGTTGTCTTTACAAAGGGGACTTTTCGGCTGAACTGCAGGCTGTGTTTACACAGAGTAGGTAGAAGACAAATATAAAATGTAAGTATTAAAATATGGATAGAATATAGAGTCACTATTTTTTCCAGTATTCGTAGCAAATGTAGGCACTTAGAAAAATGTCAAACATGTTGATTCCATTTTTTTTTGGTGAAAAATTTATGTTTTTTTTTGTTTGTTTTTTAAAAAAATGATTTTATAGCATAACTTTATTGAACTGCACAGAAGACATTTGAGTTCTCTCTACTTCTGGCCATGCTTGTGCTGTTTCCATAGAAGTGCAGGACTTTATCTTGCAGTAAAAAAAAAGAAAAAAAAAGATCCCACAGTCAGTAAAAATGTGAAAAGCGTAAAAAACACCTACAAAAAACTTGAGGTACAGACGGCTAAAGCCATTGAAGTTTCTTTAATGTAACTACGGTAAGAACCTTAGCAGCTACAGCAGGTTGGTTGAAACACACTTACTTCTCTCTACTTGGATTCTCTTGGTCTCCACTTTGGCCACGTTGAGCCTCTGTTCAGTGTAGACTTGTCGGATGTCATTGCGGGCAGCCAGAGCCCGCAGAGGGTTCCTGGAGCCCTGATTCCTTCTGGCTGGTCGCACTGCTCGCTTGTGTTCTGCTACAGCAGAGGTGAGCCTAATAGCATAATTACACAAAAGAGGGTTATTTAATCATTTCATTTATTATTCCAAATGAAAATATTTTATACATAAGACATGATTGCTGTAAAATGCTTACAAACTGCACACTTCTGTTGGGAAGGCGCATAAAATACATAGCAAAAAAACAAGACAAAAATGTGATGCATTAATTCATCATTATCATAAACTAACTTGGGTGTGTCGGCCTGGATCTGGCTGAAGGCCTCCTCAGTCACAACCACACTGGAGTCCTGGAGTGTCGAGGGCGAGATGGATTTGTAGAAGTTGCCAAATGTCTCGTCGTCATCCAGCGTCATCACTTCTTTTTCCGTCTCTGCCGTCACCTCGATGGTGGACACTTTGCTTTTGCCCACGCCTGACACCCCCAACCATACGAGGAAACAGGAAGGATGGAACAGGAGGTTTTACACAACTTTTATTATTGCTCATGATGCTTTTTTGCTGACTTGTGCTTTCAGTGAACCGGACAAAGGAAAGGTCACGGTAAGGTGATTTAGATATACACTACATGTGCTGGATATCCTGGAAGTTTCCTGAATGTTTTGTTCACTATTCGTGTGTGTAGGTTTGTCTATAATGTGCTTCTCCAAAATGTTTGATATACACTGGAGCCATGCTGCAGAGGAAGTGAAATCATTAAATGAAGAACATGTGTAATAACACCTGTATACAGATACATGTAGAAAAAGCCTTGTGACAGTAAAGAAGAGAAGAAGAAAAAGGGGCATTGTACCTTTATTGTGGAGCTTGTCTAGAAAGGACTCCAGCTTGTCGAGGCGCTTATCTCCTTCCACCTTAACATCCGTTCTACTGGAAATTTCTGTCCAGCATGAACGAACATACTTAGTGTTGGCTAGTACATTATACAATTAAATTAGTTTAAAATGTACTAGTAGCTACTGAAACATTAAGAAATAAATAAAATGATTTAAATTAAAGCCTTGTACTGTTGAATAAAGTTGCAGTTTGAGAAACACAACCACAAGAGTACAGCTCAACCATCACTATTTAAAAAAAAAAAAAAAAATGCACATCTGCTATAGTAATACATATCACATGGATTTATCAAAACACTATTATATTAACAAATAATAACAGAATACAAACATTAGCATGATTAATAGATCATACCTTCATGTGGTTTCACAGGCGTGGCATTGGACTTCTTCACAGAGATAATAGGCGCCTCCGCATCTGACACGAGACCTGACAGAACACAATCGGAGAATCACGGCTGCAGCTGACAATTATTTTCAGTATTGATTAGTCTTTCAAGCACGAGATAGACAAGCGGCACATCTGACACAGCAGCAATTAAAAGTTAATTGAAAAGAAAAGCACTATCAGAGCATCAAACTGATTGCCTGAGGAGATGCTATCCTGTCCAATGTGCTTTGTGTAAATCATTGAACGCTGAGTCTGTGTGTACTGAAGGTTGAATGTCTTCTACATGCTGGTGAATGGGCTACAGTTATTGTCTGTCCACTTTTACGAAATAACATATATTTATCTGTTCATTCTTTTTGAGAACTTTGCGTCAGCTTTTCATTTATCTTTAAAAAAAAAAGACCTGTCAGGGCAGAACAATGACCTTATTTAGGCTGCCTGACCTACACTCAGAGAAGATCACTGTAATTTCACCTCTCTTGGCCATACGTCCAGCCACTGTGAACTGGACTGAGTCATTGGCTGCTCCTTTGCCTTTGGTCTTCCACTGCTCCTCCTTGTCCTTGAGGATCTTCATCCTGTCAGCCAGCGACATCTTGGGCCCCACATCTAAACTGGATTTCTGTTGAAACATTGATTCAACTTACTATTTTGGTTTAGGAATGCATAAAGGGTGCAGACCACACACTCTCATATGCTGTGGATTTTGTTCCATATGGGAGCAGACAGTTATGAAATGTTACATGAGGATAAGAAACACTCTGGTGATGAAGGATACAGAAGCAACTACCCAGGCAGAAATGAATCTAGCAGGGAGTTATGGAAAATCCCATGACTTACTGCAGAAGCTTGGCTCTTTCCAAAAGTAACTGCTTCCAGGGATTTTAACGTGTTATTCAAACTTTGTTTGTACAAAAGAAAACATGAAGAATGTTGAGTCCTGACACTAAAACACCCAGAATCCCTTTTTATATACTGAGGACATCCATCACCCACTATTCAGTAGAGCGTTCCTCATGTGATTTACTCCTGCTGCCATTTTTGCACCTGAACTCGACCATTAAAAATGAATTGGCGGTGCTTTACTGGGCCCCCCCGTCCCACCGGAGCCCTGGAGCTACAGCAATTAATGCTATTCCACTCCCAAATATGTGAAGCGTTTTATGGCTCTGCATGGGTTTTTGCTGCCACCCCTTCTTCCTTTACTAATAATGAGCAATTCACTGTATGTAATGTGCCGTGAGTGGTGACTTCCTCAGCTTACACACAGCTTAGTCTATTTTCCACATCATTTTTTGATGATTGTGGATGCAGATACCAATATCCAGGGGACACATATTTTTCCACTTAATTGCCAAGAAGATCCAGTCTCTTCTGTAGTAGAATTAACATATTTTTATCCCTAGTCTTATTGTAATGGATCACTGGCATAACACTGACGTAAAATACAATGCTTGTCAAATGTACAGATTCTTATTTTTGTATGTTACATTTCAAACAAATCTGTGAACTTTTTGATTCACGTTTTCTGCATGTCAACGTTCATTCTAGGATGGTGCCAATATTTCATCTTAAAATCAGCCAATACAGAAGATTTGCCGATACCATCATGCATCTCTATTAGATATAAGAAATACACCCAGAAAATTAATTCCAAGAAGAAAAACATATGGTGCAAAAAGACGATAACTGCTGACTAAACAAAAACGGTCATCGTAAAAGCTACACGGTTTGTTTTTGCATTCCTTTATGTGTATGTAGTCGTTTCTTGTTTCGCTGGTGATGTGTAACACAGGGCATTCATTCACACCAAGGCAGCAGCAGTGCACTCAGTTTGACCTGCATTAAATTAAAGTAAAAAGACAAACAAATGACTGGGATTCCCCAAAACCAAATAGCTTGTTTCAGTCACAGAGGAATGTTCTTTGTAGATGAGTGATGATCGGCGTGATCTGCTGACTGTCATTCTGTAACTCACAGCATCATATTTACTGTAAGCCCTGCAGAGTCCACTTAAACATTTACAGATGGCAGCAGCTTTAAAGAGAGAAAGATGTCTGGCTGAAACAGTGGTGAAATGCAGCTTGGCATTAGGAACTAGAACAGGAAGAGTTGTCAATCTTCACTTTTTTTTTTTTTTAGGTCAAAACAAAAATGTCTAATTGCAATTTTTTGACCAATACAGAAATTTAAACTTTGAAAGCCCCCCATGCAGATATTTACTGAAAAGTAAAAAGCAAGAGAACCTGTACCAAGCATAATCAGAAGCATAAAGAGATCATGACATTAAAGGTTAAAGGTTCTTTCTTTGGCAGTTTTCCCTAACAAAGACAACCCATCTTTGACTGACTTTAATAATAACTTCCTGGTCGAATGCCAGAAAGTCGTGAAAAACGGTACATTATAATTCCAGAGCTGTAGGTGACGTCATCATATCGTTTGTTTCATTTAGTCAACAATAACAATATTAAACAGGTAAACAGATATTTTGTCTGTTTTGGGCCCAGCTATATATAAGACACTGGAAGCAAAAATTCCCCTGCCACATAGTAACAAAAATAATCTCATCCAATATGTTGTTTTCCTGAATTTAAATGACTCAATCTGTAATATTTAAATGACCATAAAGTACAACAATGTCCCAGGTGTATGAACACCCTGAAACAACTGTTCGCTCAAACAAACCATAAACTCTTTCTTTGTCTGTCTCTCACGTTACACAAACTTTACTCTACTTTTTGTGGACTACAATGTCAAACATGTTGCATCAAGTGGTCAAATATTAGCTCAACGTGAGACAAAAGCTCAAAGAAATGCTTTGAATCATGCTGGTATTCACACAGAGGCAACTGAGTCGACTGCACTTAAAGAGCATTTTCCTTTTTTAACAGATAAATGTTGCCTCTCTTTCACAGACACTCACCAACAGGAACAGAGCTGCCATGCAACATGCTGGCCTGCCCATCAGGACAAAGACGAAATTCTACACAAAGTTGCCGGAAGTTTGAGTCCAAGGAATTTTTTTTCAAGGAACTATAAGGTTAGTTATCTGCGTTTTCCCTGTGGGCTAAAGACAAAACATGAGGCAAACTGGCAAACTGGCAAAGTGACGGTTGGTTTTACGCGCAATTTTTGAGTACAGCTATGAAAGAAACTGATTTCCTCCAGTCCAGTAGATGACAGTAACTCAGATGACTGTACAACAACAATGATGTAAACAATGGTGTAAAATGAAGGACTGGTGGCGTCTAATGGTAAGCATGGAGGAGATGAATTATTACTTTGCAGATGTAGGGAGTCAACACCGGCAGATATATCCAATACCGGTCAGGCTCTATTAGTAACAAAGCGGTTGAAGTAGATTTCTGTGAATGTTTAGAATTGTTTATTGTTGCAAGCCCAACACTACCAAAGTTCTTGAACTTTGAGACTTCACTTTTTCCCGAGCAGAGGAGGAAAAATAATTTCCTCGGAACTTCATTTAGACCCAAAGATACCCAGTCCCTGGAGACGGTTCCTGCGGTTGAAATGTGGCTTTACTCAACATCACTTAAATTAGACACTTCGGACAGGCGTATCCAGGGAGTAACCTATTTTACCTCCTAAGGCCCAGCCACCCCAACACACTGGAGCTGGACATTAAAGTAAACTCTGCTGATTTCATAAGAGCTTTATCTTATTTCTTTAGAAGGAGAGATAATTACAGTAGCAAGAAACACTTGTGTACAATAGTAGGATGAACTTCTGTACTACAGGACTGAGCAAATCTTGTTTCTTCCACCATTAGATAGTTAAAAATACCACAACTGTTCCTTTCCACATCCTATTATTGGCCTAGTAATGTAATAATACTCGTACAGCCATGCTACAACACAGAACTGTCTCATCACAGTCCAGAAGTACTCTCACACACTGACATAGGCTGCCTCTGGAGTCAATCAGAGAAGGGAAATACCTTGGCCTGACAGGACCCCAGAGAGAGGGGAGGAGAGGAAAGGGCCTCAAACCCCCACAGGAAACCATTTTTCTCAGCCCTGCCTTACTGTACGGTGTAGGAAGCCCTTCAGCCAAACCACTAACACAGATACAGACCACCTGTGGATCAGCAAACCACATTCATGTAGCGACGGCGAGTGTGTCGACTTCTCAGAGGGAATCGGAGGCCAAGAGGTTGTTCAGTTGAGAAATTGGAAGCAAAACATTAGGTAAATAAGTCCATGCTAACAGGCACATACACTACATATATGTGCGCACACACACACACTCACCTGAAAGGATGAGGAAAGGTTGACAAGCAGGTGTCAAAGTCAAAGAAAGGGGTAGAGTCTGCAGGTGAGGACAGAGGCCATAGGGACACAGAGGAGAAGGGGAACTAGACAGAAGGCGAAAGGGAGGAAGGAAAATAGGAAAAGGAGAAGAAGAAAGGGAAATTATAACAGGAGAATGAGAAGAAGCAGGGCAAAAATAGACTGCAGCAGTTGGCGTTAGTAAGATTCAGTATGAGAGTGTAAAGAAGAGACACGGGTCATCTGTCTGGCATAAAGTGGAGCAGGGTGGGACTGATGATAACAAGGCAGCCTAGATTACTATGTGACAGTACAATGTGCACATATGAGTCACTTACATTTACAAGGGTAGGAAACTAACTTCTGTATTTAGCTAGAATTATCTAATGAAGTGTTTCCCCTGGTAGATAGGAGGTCAAAAATGGATGCTTTTGAATTGGATTCTGTTATAATTACATCTTCTGGGTTTTTTTTGTTTTGTTTTGTTTTTTTAACAGCAGATACTATATGTGTCCAAGATAAGTTTCCTCCAAGACAATAAACTTTATCTTATCTTAGGTTATTTAGATCTAGCACACTTTTGATGTATTGGAGATAAGAAACTCAACTTTTCTTGATGATTCAACTTAAAGTCACTCTCTTGTCTTCAGCTGGTTCAGAATTCAGCAGCCTGGTTTCTAATTGGCTTTAGCAGACGACATCACATCACCCCAAACTTGGCTTCTCTCGACCGGCTCCCTGTTTGTTTTAGAATTGATTTTAAGATTTTACTGAGTATTTTGAAGCACATCTGGGTCTCGCTTAAATCTAAAGCTGATCGTTCTTTTGCCATCAGGCCCCTTGCGCTTTGGAGCGACCTGCTGGAGGAGATGATTCTTTTAAACACTTCTTAAATTCATTTTATAGACTTGCTGCTGGCTGTCCCCAAAACAAGGCTGAAGCTAAGAGGAAACAGAGCGTTTGCCGCTATTGCCCCCAAGCTCTGGAACGAGTTGCCTTTGCGCATCCGACAGGCCCCGTCACTTCCTGTTTTTAAATCTCTTTTAAAAACACACTTTTATTCCTTGGCTTTTAATACACTCTAATACATTTTAACTTATTTAATTCCACTCTGTCTGGCATTCCGTGATTAAGCACCTGCTTTGAGCTTGTTTGTTTGTTTGTTTATTTGTTTATGCTTTAACTTTTATTGTCACGTATCAATGTACAGCACTTTGGCTACCCCTGTGGTTTTAAAAATGTGCTATATAAATAAAGTGATTGATTGATTGATTGATTGCTTGTATGTGATGTTGTCTTTTTAATACTCATTTATTAATATTGACGTACTGTGTTATTGCATATTTTTGCGCCTGTTGTCTTTTTGTTTTTACTTACTCTTAATTTCACCTTAATATTGCCTTGCTTTGTTCAGCCTTACCGTCTGGCTCCCTGTTATTATCTTCCTTTCGCTTTGTCTGTGAAAGCACTTTGTAAACCCTTGCTATATAAACAAAGTTATTATTATTATCTTCATTGTCCTCACTAATACATTTTCCTGGAATCAACACACTGAGGACAATGTTTCCAACCTATAATTAGTCTTAATGCATTTCAGTTTCTCTGTGGGAGCTGCAGTGTCAGTGTTTTGGCTCTTGGGGAGATGTCCAACCAGGCTTTGTTGAGTCATTAGTGGAATATGAAACCCAGGCATTTAGCAAATCCTGAAGGATTTGAAAGCAAACTCTGCATTTTTAAACATTTTTTAAGCTCTGTGTGAATGTTGTGGAGACGTGAACATGAGTGCTAAACAAGAACAGCATTTAAAGTCATAAAGCAGTGTTTTTTTGTGTGTGTTGGATACTATTAATTATTAACTGGAGGCATGCTGTCATCGGTCAATGCAGCTTATGACTAAAAGTCTTCAAGACAGACTTTCTTTAAATTAAATTTACAACACGGTATCACTTTACAACACCGTGGTGCACAGAACAGCTTAGCGAGCTTAACAGGAAACATCTGGAGCTGGCCACGGTCTGTACCATGCATGATACATTCTCTGGTCCTCCACATATCAACTGAAGAGCAAAAACATCTGATTCAACTTGGCAGCGTTTGAGATAAAAGAACATGTATAAACATTCAACCAATGGCCTTTTCTCAAGAGATAGATGGAAACCTAACGAGTCACATGCAAGTAAATGCCCCATAGCACCGAGGCCAGTAATTTAACCAAACCACATATTATCTGCATCCGTGACATAAGTTAGTTTCCCAGAGTTCTACAGTAGCAGCCACAGCAAACAGCAGGTTTCAATTCACAAGAAATAACCTCAGATAGAATTAAAGAAAGAAATCCAGACTCTGGACACCAGCTTGGCACTCCTTCGTGCATTGGACTGTTGAGAATGCAGTTTTCATGCTGTTCGTGGAAATGCACTAAATGTTTATGGACTTTGCATTGATTTATCCCACTGAAGACAAAGCACACAAATATAAAATGATATCATTTTTTCAGTATTTGACTGGGGATTTGCTCAGATTCTGGCTGGCTGTACTTACTTATAAAAGTAGCTTTTTCCAGACTTGGAGTGGATTTATTCTAAGGTTAGCTCATCTTTGGATGAAGCATGAAACCAGACCAGAAAGTCCCCCCGAGAGGATCACTGATCTTGACATACCTCCAGCCAAAGGATGCTCAGTATAAATAAATATGAGATCACCTCTAGCTTAGAGTCCAACTGACTGTTTTAGGGATGTCCATGGGGAGCACATGGGTTTTTTTCCCCCACTGGTGAAGTACCATCCTGTAAGTTCTCCATCCGAGGACGGGTTATTAAACAGTATAGTTCTGTTTTTCCTCTTCAGTACTCACTGGCACTGGTGCTCTTGTTTATATAGAAGAGAAGACCATGTAGAAATTTGCATAAACCTCCATCATCACCAAGTACAGTTAGCATGTGTCTGCTAAATGCTCTGTGCTGACATCTGCAAAACTGTCTGACCTGGATGTTTATATACCTTTATGAGAAATGAAAGAACCCTACAAGGAACACAAAAGCTTGCTTATGGAGGAAATTATTTTTCTAACTTTGGGGAGCGGAGAAAAGGGGAGAGCGCAAAAGTCGACAAAGGAAGGAAGCATTAGCTTGGAGGACTTGCAGGTGTTTGGTCATGGTGTAGGATTTTGTTTGAACAAGGGGTAGGAGGTGTGTCCGTTTTTGTTTTTTTTCCTCTTTGGGAGGCTAGCTGAGCCCTGGATCTCTGGCTTTGGCATCACCACTCCCAAATGTGCTGTAACCCCGAGCCCTCGTAACCTCACACCCTCTTGGCAGCAACTCAGGGAAATAAGCTGATTCAGCGGAGGGAGAAATGCGTCCACAGCCAACTCGGTCTTTGCCTGAACACAAAGCTGAGGGGAAGCTGCAACATATGCTCATTTTTGTTCATTACCGCCACTTTTCTCAGCCCAGAAAACAAGCTCCAACAAAAAGGGGTTTTATGTTTCAGAAGTCTTGAGGGGGAACAGTTTATACTAACTGATCAACTTTGCAACCCAAGAACACAGGTAGTTTTTTTTTTTTCCCCCCAGTCAGACCTTACCTTTTTCTTCCAGGCATTTTCAGCATCTTGGAGCTGACTGAAGCGATCAGCCAGGGATGTCTGGACCTGCTCACATGGCTTTGGCTTCTTCAGTCTGTCCTTCTTCTCACTATTGAACTCCGTCAGTCTTTAAAAAAAAGACATATCAGTTTAAGTTTAAGACAGCAATAAAATGAACCGTGTACGTTACATTTATTATGCATTCTAGAAAAACTTAACCCTCTGAACCCCAAAAGCCCACCAGCAGGTTTGAAAGACATGTTATCTGTTTGGGAAAAAAGCCAAAATGACATAATTTATCGGAACTTCATTCTACGCGTCACACTTCAAATTTTGCCACAAATAAAATCGACTAAACTCATTCTGTTAAAAACAACCAATTCTGTGCTCCATTAATGACTCCGTTGAAATCAACAGTTACTTGACAAAGATTGGAGTTTTTGGCTGAATTGCAGGCAGTGCTTACACAGAGCAGAAAGGAGACAAGTTTATACAAAAAAAAATTAAAATGCTAGTTAAATATCTGTAGTATATAGAGTCACCATGTTTCTAGCAACACCTGTGGACACTTGGAAAAATGTTGTACATGTTAAGTTTTCCTTTTTTAATTTTTTTTTTGTAAAGTAAATATATCAAAGAAATTGAACCTACATTTTTTTTTCTCTTTATAGCATTATAACTGCATCATACTGCACACAAGACACTAAGTTCTCACTACTTTTAGCCGTGGTTGTTTTCATAGACATGCAGGGCGTTATTTTGCAGTGAAAAGTGACAAGAGCTACAATCACCCAAAAACTTATCGGGGTTCAGAGGTTTATTTTGAGCCATAAGTCTGAGTATTACAGGTATTTTAAAGTTGTATTTGTTGGGTTCCAGGAAATATTGTCACACTGTAAATGAAGGATTTTGCAATGTCAAACTTTCTGTCTATAACAAGTCTCAAAGTCTTTTTGCTCAATTAAAAATGAATTTAAACTCTACTTAAATATTTTAAGATGATGTCAAAGAGGAGAAATATTCATTATCAAAAGCTAACAGACTGTTGCTCAGGTTTCAGTATTGATGCCTACAGTAGACTGTTAGCTTTCACTAACTGTAATCAAGCATAAAAGGTTTCACTAATTTTAATCGCTATGTGTGTTTGTATACATTCTGACCTCTGTTTGAGTGACGAGCCCACGCTTCCTTCCAAACTGCTCTCCAGCTCTTCAACATCCTCCGACACCGTGGAGGTCTTCTCCAGGCTCTCGTCGGGCGAAGGACTCCGCATCTCCTCGAAGCTCCCTCTGCTGCTGCTGCTGCTGCTGCTGCTGCCGCCTTCCCTCTGCTGTCTGTCCATGCTGAAGCACCCTCCGTCTGGGAAATCATCAGCTAATGACTCATCCTCATTCTCTCCATTGACCTCTTCTTCCATCTCATCTTCCTCCTCCTCTTCCTCCTCCTCCTCCTCCTCTTCTTCCTCCTCTTCCTCGCTCTCAGGATGGCTCAGGGTGACACTGCTCTGTCGGGCTGGCACCCGCTCAGGCATCGAGCCATCGCTGTGGTCTGATTCCACGCTGGTAGAGCGGCTTTTCTTTAGGATTCCCTTAATGCCCTGAGGGCCCGAGTCTTGGCGCTGCAGCGAGGAGGCAGACTGGCAGGGAGGACTGGGAGGGGGAGAGGCGTCTCTGGTCTTGCTGAGGGGGAGAGTTCTGTCAGAGAGGAGACTGGAAGGCTGTTGTGGAGGGGAGGAAAGAGAGAGGGCAAGCTGTTTTTACTACCAGCCATTACATTCAAAATATATGGAAAAGACTAAGTAAACCTGCACAACAACTTGAAGTGTATTCTATGGTTTCTGACATTTTCCAGTTTCAGCTCCTCTGTAGTTTCTGCACAAACAGTGAAAACACATTTTCGTATTCCTTGTCTGGGAGACTATACAGCACAAAACCATCATCAAAAACGTACACTCCCATTTCAACTTTCTGATTTCAGGGAGCTACTGCTGCTATCAACAGAGTCTGGGTTAGTGTGTCAGACGAGCATGATGATGGGTTAGAGGGACAGAAAAGTGAGAGTAAGCAAAAATAGAAGACACATATGGTTGAGAAAGGAGGAACAATGGTGGTTAGAAACAGGGATCAAGTGAAAATCCAAGAGTTATGAGCTGAAACAAAAAAATGAATGTGTAAAGAAGGACTGGGACGGGTTTCTATTTCAAATCTACAAGACTTGACTGGGACATCATTATGTAAACGGTGTTGCAAAGCCAAGCTATCTGGAGATATATTAAGCATTTTAAAGCTGCAATGCTTTTTCTTTTTTCAAAATGAACAAGGAAAGATGCATGTTTTGCGCGTGTTCATATGTTAGCACTTAAACGGCACAACAGCAGCTGAAACAACAGCAGACATCCTACTGACAAGTCAGAAGTTATGAGGGCGTGCTGATTTAGGAGGAGATGAAGGAAGGAGCAGATTGCGAGGCCAGCTGGGTGTGAAAGTGCAATGCTAACGTGGTGGTCCGCTTTAATGAACACCAGAGTGCGTGACGTGTGTGGGCATTTGTGTGGAAGCATGTGTCCATGATTTTATTACTTGTGAGAATCAGTTGAAGATCTGGGCGACTGAATAACACTTTGTCCAAATGAGTTAAAGAATGCGTGTCCAACAGCACATCAGCGACGTGAGTTATAATCTACGTGTCAACCTCTAAAACAAAAAAACTAACCTAAACCAGACTGGAGAGAAACAGAGCCAAAGTGAAGGTGAGTAAGGGTTTTGGAATTGGCTTGCATGTGGAGGTAAGTGCAGCAACAGTGGTCAAGAATACGATCTTTCCAAAGACAAGGCACAAAGATGGCTTTTATCCTTAAGCCTCTGATTTATGAAAAGTATCTCTGACAAATAAAACACATTTATAGGTTCTGCAGTGCAATTTTTAATTTCATCTTTTAACAATATTTTAGTAGCTTTAAATACAAAAAGAACACTGACCTTTTTTTCCTCTGCACTGGCAGCATAGTCACACTGCTCCTTCCATGAAGGCGTCTCTGTAGACTCTTTCTCTTCCATCATCTTGCTCATATCACTTTTAAGGAGGCTGAAATTTCAACAAAAATGGACACGTATGTTACAAACAGAGAGAAAGAAAGGAAAAATGTAAAATGCAAAAACAAATCACCCAGAAAAAGCTGAATTTAAAACACAGACTAAGACATTTAGCAATCATAATGCTGCCATCGTGACATCATCCTTCTGTTTTGAATATATTCCATGTGGTTTGAGCTATAATTACCGTTTGCATTTATGTAATTTATATGAGTAAAGCTTGTATCAAAGTTGTACTCGACACAACTGCAGAAGATTTTATGAACACAGAGGGAGCTGTAAAAATCAATGCCAGTCACTGAATTGGTGTTTTCCAAGCGATGCAGGCACCGTTCCAGCAGAATGATAAACACTGAATGAAGAATTCACTAATACCCCGCAGTAAACCCTGGCAAGCCCAGCCTCAAGCTCATAATGATCTCATCTGATCCTGTTTCTGACCTTTGAAAGGTAATGATGATAACAAACCTTTACTTTTGCTTTCAGCATGCTGCTCCCTTTCTGACCACTTTTTTTTTGTTTTTCTTTAAACACAATAGTTTTCATAATTAACTCATCAGAAGTGATTCATTATGTATTGCATACACTATATTGTGTGCAAATCAGTGAAGCTTTGCTAAGTAGGCCAGTCTCAGGGTTCAGCTGGAAATGCTCACATGTACTGAAATGATTTCTGGCTTGGGAGGAAACTGAAAAGTTCTGTTTAAACTCCTTGCAGACAACAAAGTGACAGGAGTGAATTCAGTTACGCCTTTAACCTATCTAATCAGTCGTGCACTCCAGAGGGTACAGTGCTAAGTACAGTCTGGCTCTCGCTGCTGCAGCTATTAGCTTCAATCTGGTTTGCATCACCATGGCTACCACAGACCCCTCAGTGTTTGCGTGTTTATGCATGTACATGTGTGTGTGTGTGTGTGTGTGTGTGTGTAAGCGCTGGAGAGAGTGCACCGTATTAAAGGCAAGCTCTTCAGGTTTATCTGGTTCATCTCTGCAGCTGTTTGCAACATTAGACAGCCTTTCAATTGGCCTGTAATTACTCCTGTGCTTCAGCCTGTGTCTGACTTGCTTTCAAGGTATCGCCACCAAACTGCTCGTGTCGTACCAAATATATAATGCACCACAGCTGACGAAAACATCCGAAGTTTTAATGTAGTTAGTTTAATGAAACGGTGTGGCCATGTTGGTATGCTTACCTGGTCGATCCTTCCTCTTCGTCACCGATGATTTTCTGATGTGTCACTCTGTCATCAGCACGCCAGCCGCTGCCTCCATCCTCCGTCCCCACGACTTCCTACAGGTACAGCAAGAGAGAGGGGAGTGCAGGAGCCAAAACGTTAGACTGAAGTTTAAAAGGAATACTGCTCAAGTCCTAAAGCAGCTGTAAAGAATATCTAGATAAAGGAAGTGAATGAATGAATAAGACTCCACCCATCCACTTGAGAAAACTAGTTAACCCCTGCAGCGCTCCAGCTGACTTGCTTAAAACATCAGTGTTGTAATTTGCGAGAAAGTACGAGACATCCACCCATCCTGAGTACATACAGTTAAAATTAAAGCAGAAAGGGATGAGCGCGGCCAGGGCTACATTTTCCACATTAAAGCAAAGCCTCCTCAAGGGAATCGTTGTGGTTTGTTTTTATTACTTTTTACCATCTCCATGGTCAAATATTGCTTCAGTGGGCATGCTGACTCTGGCCTGGCTCTTTTTAAGGGAAACAAAACCCACCAACGAACACCTCTAAATCTTTTTAACGGTTTATTTCCCTAATTACTACATTTTATTTTTGCACAGACTGAACAAACAAGACATTACGTGTGAATTACATAACATTAGGTGTGTGTCGCTACCTTTGGAGAGCGACAGTCCAGCCCCATGTTTCCAGTCTTTAATCTAAATCTTGTCAAGGAAGTGAAAAAAGTCGACTTCCCCAAAACATATTTCTTGAAAAGTAGAAGGATTTATGCATCTCATTTTATCTGTCTGTTTTTCACAGTCTACTAGTCTGGCTTTTTCCAACTTATACAAAGTGTGAAGCATGCAGGTGTGTCAGTAAACACTCTGCTGAGCGCCTGGGGTGACCTGGAGAGGATAAGTGGATCTCCAGCTGTGAAGAAAAACACCGGAATCCAAATTCCCTTGAATTAGAGAACACTTACAAACTAATTGAAGCTCACTGATTATAAAGAAGGAACTTATGTTTCACTGAAAAGGATGTAGTGCCTTCTGCGAAACAGATTTTTCATACATGCAGGGAACTCAAAATATAAATGAGCTGTATCTTTCTCCAGGAGTCTCGGTGTACATATTTTATTTCCTCCATCTGCGTTGGAAAGCAGACGTGCTGTAACTCTGTCTTCTTGTGATGGAGACACTGACTCACCGATTTTCATCAGGGAAATGTGGAGGGGAAGTGAGTGATAAGGAAAAAGTGAAGACAGGAAAGGGATATCTGTCACTGCTGATGACGGTCAAACGAGACACCTTAAAATAACAGATCTAGGTCAGAACAAAGGATAGAGGATGAGGAGGGGAGGAGGCAGTGTAATTCTAAGATGGACTCTTTGTGGGAGCCTGTTTTCCCAGCAAGTTTTTCAGTTAGAGCAACTTGCTGCCATCTGGGTTCACTTGGCCAACCTTGGCACCACTCCTGCTCTGTAAAGGCCAAGTTAGAACAGCTATTTACATCAAACATCATGAAACCGAACCACTTCTGAAACCTAAGCAGCCTGGGAAAGCCCCATACTCGGTTCATTTTTAAGCACACATGCGAAGATCTCCCTTAGGATTGGGGACGTTATCAATGTTTTGTTCCTGAGTGCATCTTGTAGCCCTCTGGACTTTTCTTCCCACCGCTGCTCTAAGACCTTCATGGACTGTGCGAGCTGAAGTCATGACTTTGGCCAAGCGTGCATCCAGGTGCAGAACAGCTCAGCGCTGTATGGAGCGGCTCAATTTGTTATTAATGGAGCAAACTTCCAGGGGGGATTGGAAGTGTAGACCAGCTGCAGTGGAAAAAAAGCTGCGAGTAAATCAGCGAGGGAAATGAGAAGAATTAACCGAAGACTCAAAGAATTTAGATCGAGCAACTGTGACATCACCTGGAAGTTTATAAATTAAAGTTTCGAACCTTGGATTTGGTTTTTCTGTGATTTTGCAGGTGCTTGGAGCCATTAAATTTAAATTTGGGCAAAAAGAGGATACAGCTTGGATGCAGCTGAGGTGGGAAAGTGCTTCCTCAGGCTACAGCAGGGAAACTGGATCTCACACATGTGCAAGGAAATGTTTGACACAATTAATAGATTGTGTGCTACATACTCAGTCATACCATTTCAGATGACATTACACTGGGTGGTATTCACTTCCTGGAGCATTACCCGAACCCCCAACTGTAACCTAAACCTAACCCTACCCTGACTGTAAGCCAAGTCTTCAGACCAAAATGTAATGATTTATGTTAATTGGAGATGCTTTTTAATCACTGAAAAAGAGGAAGATCCCCACAATGTGGCTATAGCAACTGATTTATTTCCCCACAACAGGCACGCAGACTCCAAAAAGCTTGAGACCGAGGGCAGATCAAAATACCGTACCTTAAAAAGAGACATCTTGGAAGTTACACTGCTCTTGGCCGAGTCCGCAGGCTTCTCACCAACTGAAAAGAACACACACATACATAAGGTTGAGCATGAATACAACAGTGAGAATTAATTTACCCAAATAGCGCAAGTGCTTCAGTCAGGGTGTCACCTTGGGATAGAGTTTCAACACTGACAATGTGTTTTTTGTATCCACAACATGATGTGTTGTTGGGGCACACAAAGACAGACTCAACAGGTATTTTATTGCATGCATGCACAAACATATTTGCACAAACTCTCCACACACTGATGTCTCTCCCTGTTCAAAATAAGCAGCACTAAAAGGGTCAATGAGCTGTGCACAGACACACACACACAGACACACACACCAAAGGTTTTTGGGTCAAGTGGAAGTTTTCCTCGCTGGGGAAAAGTGTAGAAAAGGAAATTGAAAATCATATTGGCTTCACCAGTGTTTCTAAAATGTCTTTAGACCAGAAAAGTAAACGAAAAAAGCCACTAACCTCAGATTTAGTCTGAAAAGTCACTGGGCATCTTTGGATTCAGTGAGTCTTTCAGTAAAGCAAAAGATATCTGACTTTTTATAAAGAGGGGGAATACATTTACTTTGTGTTTGTGGATATATGCTAGAGAGAACAAGGCCTGTCTAATCAAAAGCAGCCCTGAGAATATAGTCTTCTAATCTGAACAAAGAGAACCCATTAAATTTAATGGTACTCCAAAACAACACAAATTTCTTAAGTCAGCACACTTAAATCCACTCTCCCACTCACTCTAAATCTGTTTTTATTGCCTCGACAATGTGACATTTCTAGTCCAAATGATAGCACGACTCTGACAAACTCAACGTTTCCAAGGGAAAGCTCCAGTTTAGATTTATGTTTCCAAGCTCCCCTGCAGTCCAGATCTTAGCATGATTTAGGTCAGATGATGAAACATTAAGCATCGCAGACTGGTGACTCCACTCAGACTACACTCTTATAGTTTTGACTTCAGTCCAATCTTTTTTACATCATCATCCATCCAAAGTCCAAACTAGAGACAGAATGAGGGGGGGAAAAAAAAGACTCAAGAGACGGAAAAATCTCCACTTAAGTTTACGGACTCAGCTGTAAGTGGTTTCATCCATCTTTTAAGACTGCTCACTTACAGCTGTTGAGAGCTTATTGGATGGTCCTTTGACCTGTCCAATAGAATATATAGAAATAATAGCCAGTGGCCTCTGAGGAATAGTTTGTTACAACATCAAATCTGCATATGACTTACAGCCGAGCTTGCCTTTTTCCGTCACTAACAAAAGTCAAACAGAGCGCATTTACTGTAAACATGCTGATGTTTACATCCTTACAACGGGCACCGTTACCTGCTGTGTACAGTATAATGATTATGTGGGTACCAGCACCACTGCAACTTGGTGATTAGTTCATTAAAAACCAGTTAAATGTCTGCATGCATGCATCACTGACTCGCAGAAAAGCTAAAGAGTCGGGGAAACCCTCGATGCGATCATGAGAGGCGTTTTGGCTCAGAGCTCTGACTCCTCTGCCAGCTTGGACAGGAAGCTTATCAGCCGTATGAATGCACTGCCAAAGGCCTCTCAGACCCACAAACACATCTTGTCTTCTAACCAGAAAAACACACTGCTCTTTTTCTCTTCTCGTCAGCATATCTAAAAGTCATGTCAGACAGATAATTAATTGTTATTACTGTGTTCTGTATTCAAGAAATTACAAAATCCTTATATTAATATACATCATGTGTCTAAATCATCTTATCTTAAATGCTTGAGAACCTCCTGTTTTTTCAAGAAGAAACCCACTTGAGTCAAAAGTGGATTTACTTTTTTTTACAATGTGATGGGAAATATATGTATTTTTTAAAAAACGTAAAAACATCTGGGACACATTTAGTGTTTAGGAAGAAATATAGTAAATCAATGTTGTGTTTAAAGAACAGAAAAGCCACTTAATGCGGCCATATGTGACAGGCAGCTGAATAGTGACTGTTCAATTTTGCCTTCGTGTTGTCTTTTAAATTTCACACCGTCTCAGAATCAGTTTACTGAGAAGAGAACGCAATCGCTGATGCTGCGAGTGAGTCAGCGCCTTCGTCAAATACACTAATCACTGTTTGGATAAATCCTGTGATTTATTTACACATGGATACATCGTTGAGTCATTTATGCTTGCTGTGCACTTATAGAGCGTCGAGGTGAAAAGGTGTTAGATAAGAGAGCTAGCATAAATAAGTATAGATGTTTTATTCGTGTGTGGATGCCACTGTCATTGTCTAAGCTGTGGTCTGCTCGGGACAAAAGCCTGACAGTGGACGACACTAAAACTAATCCACACATGAAGCAGCTGAGAAGAGGAAGTTATCAAAGCCTTTTCCCCATCATGGACAATATCCCCCGCCCTCTACAAAGTGTTCTGGCTAACCAGAGAAGCACATGTGGCCAAAGACTAACAACAACAAAACGCTCCGCTGAAGGTCACGAGGCCATTCCTTCTTGTGGTCATCAAGTCAAATAATTCCTCTTTCCGATGAGTTTATTTATTTAATGATTTAATGTCCTAAATATGTGAATTTGAGCAGCTATTACAAAACAATTTCCCTGTGAGGATCATTAAAGTTCATCTCATTCTCATCATGTAACCTCAACGTAATTGCTTCCAATCTGACACTTAACCTGTTATTCACTGCAGCTTTAACTACTGACTCTGCATTATTAAATAACAAGCTGTGATTACATGTAAAAACAAATATGACTTCCAGACTTCCTGATTAGCTTCAAGAGTGAACACCGTGTTGAGCAAATAAGATGCTACACAACATTGCTTCACGTGCCATGAAATAGTGAAGTAACCGTCGTTTCGTTTTCTTACGCAGTGCAGCACAAACACATTACTGACTGGCAAGTAAACAAAGCAGGGCTGACAAATCTGTTAGCATAGAACCATACAGGTAGGCCAACCAGCGTATAACGAGGCAGGAAGCCACTGACCCAGACACACTCTCAGGCTGTGGGCTCAGGTGGCTGAATGTCAGTAGAAAAGCAGCCGGAGGTTCATATGTAAACTTGGCATTTCCTTCTCTTTATAGCAGAAGGCTTCCAAATTCAATTCTAAAGCCTTCTGACTGAACCAAGCCTCTAATGTAACAGCATATAATTAGTCATTATGAAAGAAAGAAACACAAGCGTAAGCACTCGCTCACAAAGTCTTTGAATAAAACGTCTGCCAGCACGTGCCAAATATTATCTCCTTCATTTTCTGAAAAAGAAAACCATCACCTAAGGGTAAAACACTCACATTAAATTATACATCAACAGCAAAGCTGAGCCAAGCACGTCAGATTTATATTCTTTTACTCCTCCTCAGTGGAAGAGTGCTAAAAAGCCAACATCTATAAACCAGGTAGGTAATCTGACATCAGCAATGAGCTCAGTGTTCCTTTCACACTGAGTAATAGACAGAACTTGAATGAGTGTAGCGATAGAGCAGTGAGTGGAACAAAAGAGATATGAGAGTGCAGTGAAAGTGGAGAGTTCATCTTACCCTTTGGGTCTTCTGTGTCACCACTTTCCAGCAGCCTACGAGAGAGAGAGAGAGAGAGAGACAAATGGGATCACTCTCACATAAGACAGTGATGACAGAAATTACATATGTGGTAACACTGATGCTGAAGAAAATAAATCTTACACACATTACTGTAATCCACAAATGTACACTCAAGTCAAATGGGAAAATAGATCATCTAACATCAGCTAGCAAAAGGACAGCAAGCCACTTACTGTGCCTCATATCATATGCAGCGTACAGCATTTACTCATGTTGCCCTTCCAGTCCCGTGTTGGCAATGATATAACAGCAATGTCTGTGCAGCGACTGAAGGTGGCCATTCATGTCTAAGTAATGGGCGTTAAAAATGGATGGGGACAGCAGCTGCCTGTGGGGTAGCAGCGATGATGTAACAGGAGGAGGGGAGAGGACTGCTTTTAACACAATAGAGAGTCGTGGTGGACATCTGGGAGGGGTCAAAGGCTATTGGAGAAGGGGAGACAGACTCCAACTGCACGATCGAAATCAGCAGCGACTTAAGCATTTTTTAATTGACTAGTACATCCCTGTCTCCATGTGTAACAGAATATAATACAGGGAATTCTATTAAATATTACAGTGAACAGTAGTGATGTGCTGTCCAATCTTGTCACGTCGACAGCATGTATAGCTGTTCTGCTGTCACAGTCAAAGACAATGAAAAGCAGCTCATTGTTCAGAGGCTGGAGATATATTATGTAAATATGGGGCAAATGTGCAGACAGTATTTCCTGCAGGGAATTGAAGGTGTTCCTCATACACAGCTTACATAAAATCAGACAAAAAATAAGGAAAACTATAAATGGATATATGACATTGTTGGATCTAGCCCTGCCTCCAATTCTGATAGTAAAAAAGTATGGGGAGGGGGTTTCCAAATGTATGCTGTCACAGAAGAAGCTGTTGTCCCTTTAGTTGGACTTTGCAGCTGAATTGTGCCAAAAAATGTCTCTAATAAATGAAGCATTATGTCTATGTGTCTGTTTTTCATGTTACTTGATCATGCTATCATCCACATTGCCAAGTGTGAAGCTGTTAGGAGGAGTGGTTCTGACTAACATTAAATGACAGTCAGTGAGGATCTACGTCAGGGCTGGGCTGACTAATCGATGTAATTGATTACGACAACGACACATTGAAAAGATGGCTGAGCCCAGTGAAAGCACGGATGCCCCCGGAGAACAAGCTGCAGCTAAAAATTCATTAAGAAAGAAATAACTTGTTCACAGTCATCTTAAGGGCCAAGCGTGGCTTTGACACATCCATATGTGCAAATGTGGGGACTGAAAATGGACAGGGCCTGCAGTTCTATTAATATCACAATAGGTATGCGTCAGGTCACATTGCCCCTCACATCAAACACAGGCAAACACTGAGTTGCAGCACCATGTCAGAGTAGCACCATGTCAGTGTGATTACATCAAGGTGTTCTGATCATAGTGGTCGTATACAGCACAGGATTTTCAGCAGAATTTGGAACTCCTCAGTATGTTTTGGCACCACTGATGGAAAGCAAATCAAAGAACCTCCAAAGTCCACTAACGACTACCTCAATTACAAGTCCTTAAATGAGAAATTTCAAAAAGCTGTGACTAGGGAGAATCTCCTTGTACAGTCGCTCTGCAAAACAAGCATTTCTTTAAGCACCATTTGTTTTTCTGCCATATGTGTGAACTCTTGTCTCTTGTCATGAACTGGCCTTAAGCGTGGGAGTATTTTAGACAGAGACCCAACAATATGGTGCTCTGTAAGAACTGAGGATTGGAAACAGATTACGACACAGTACAAGTACTATGCACGAGCACTTGAAGTGAAAGCATCCCAGAGCGCCTTATCGAGGCTGCAGCGACAGATGGCACCATCCTGCCAAACAGGCACATTCCAAATGGGGACTGCAGTAATTCATTTAAATGGTGGATCTGACTCATTATTGTCTGACTTTTTCTTGGACTGATGTCATACGAGTCCTAAAATATTGTTGAAAAGTAATTTTTACTGCAGCGTATTATTACGAGTAATTCTGGGATTGAGTTTGGTTACGGTGGAAAGTTTTGTTAGTTTTGGGCTGGCTCGCCTCCTTAGAGCTTTGTGATGTAGTGGAAATCAGAATATACCAGACCAAGGCATTTATAGCATTTAATTCAATTTTTGTAGATTTTCAGAAAATTTACTTTTTTTGTTGTTTGCTTGAGATAATATCAGTCAAACTGAAGTTGAGTGGGTTTGACTCAGTAGAAATGACAAAAATAGAGATAACTTAGGTTTGATTGATATTGTCTCATGTAGATGATGGAAAAGTGGGTTTTCTGATGGTTTGTGAAGATGGAATTATCTGTTTTTGCAAATGGAAATTAGCCTTGTGCTCAATCAGACATATTTACTGCAACCTGAGATTGTATGTTCATTAATACGCACTGTCTCATCCAAATAAACAAATAAACATGTAGTTGGAGATGGTAGATAAGAAATTAATGTAGGGTTTGCAGTAAGTAAACAGCCTAAAACACACCAATCTCTCGCTGCAACACAACTAAAACTACTTAAGTGTGCAATGTACCCATTAAGGCCACTTGAAAATGTGTTTGCACACCCCTCTGATCTTGTTGGATGCCACCTGTTTCTAAAACACTTTAAAACCTTCCTTTACAAACACAGGACTCAGTGACACTTCACCTACCCCGCCCGCACTTTGACAGTCAGCTGAAGGCGAGGCGAGACATGCATCAGCCCTACGCTGTCAAAACTAACCAGAGAAGAAGAATGGAGCGCAGTGCAAAGAGGAGGAGAAAAGAAGTTGAGGAGAAAGCAGCTAAACACACATTCAAACCAATGCAGGCGCTTCATTTATCAAACACTTAGAGCAAACTTTCTCCATTAAATCATGTCATACACACAAAGCATGAAGGGAGACAATGAAACACAGAGAGAGGGGATGAAATAAGAGGATAAAAATGTCATGTTACATAATCACTGTGACATATTTAAATAATTAAACTTTATTGTATCTAATAAGTGCGCTTAACTTTAGGAAAACAGAGTCATTCATTTTGGAGGTACTTCAGCTCTGTAATGGTTCAGCCATGTCAACAATAATTAGCCCCAATCCCATTCTGTCTTGTTTCTAATCCAAGGCGACTGTCTAACCCCACTGAGCCAGCAACACAATGACTGGTGTTTACTACACATGCTTAATAACACCCAGAATATCCGACCCAAAATACTGCACATTAACACTCCCACTCATGTGTAGGACATTTCTGAGATGTTGGCTACGGTTAATACTAAATCTTTCCAACTCCTATTATCTTTTGTAAGTCATATTTTTGCATGATAATGCTGCATTGTATTAGACACACACGCCAAGTTTCTCTACTTATTAGTTTGCAGACTGATAGATAAAACAGCAGTGCACTTATGTGTGTGTACTATTGTTCAGCTGATGACATTAACTACCACACCAGGGAACTTGACGTCACAGTGTTGACTGTTAAAGTAGATTAAGGAAACTAGATTACATGTACATGAACAGATATGAGGTTAAGCAGTGGGACAAGACAGAATTTCTAGATTGTATTTCTTAAATTTAACTGTTCATCGTAAATGTCAAAACGTAGTGTTTTGGAATGTCACTCTACAACTGTGACTTACACGCAAAGGATTCCTGTCTGTGGCAGATAAACCTGTTGACAGTTTACGTTATCGCTGGGACAGCTGAGCTTCAGTTTCCTTTATGCTATTTCTGTAACAGACACTCCGCCATGTTGATCATGAAGGATCAGTGAATATGTGTGGAGTTCTGATCATAAAGCACGTGTAAGTTCTTTTTAAAAGTGCAAACACCTCCAATCACCCCCGAGAATTTGGTGAAAGTGACATCATAATCCAAACCAGTACAATCTGGCAATCCAATGAAGAGTTGTTAGCTGACAACAGTAACTTCTATTCAACCTCTTTTGTGTGTTGCATAAGCGTGCCTGTACACAAGACTACACAGCTGAACTATGGACTGTGACACGCAGCAAACGTCATGACAAAACTGACAGGATTAGTAGCTAACGTGACAGGCATGCGAGAAACACATCAACATGTCAACCCGTCTCTGTGCTCTCTGTAATTAAAAACATAGTCCATAACTTTGTGTGCGACTTTACTCCGTGTTTTGCCAAATATTCTTTGTGCTGTGGTAAACCTAAACGCTAAGAAAAGTTTCTTTCGCATTTCATAATTTGGAAAACAAAAATGTGATCTAAATCCATATTTTTCATAATGGATCACTTTCAATACTAGATTCTATGCTTAGACCACATTTTAAAATTAGCACTGACATGAAAAAAGCAAAATAAAAAATAATCAAAGCAAAGCTGAGCTATGGAAGATGATCTGGGCAGCTTAGCTTAGTTTTGCTGAAACATGTCATGCTGTGTTTCTCAACTCTCTTACAACACAGGATGTGACTTTCCTAGTTTAATTAAATAACTAGTCCACAATGTCTAACAGTCAATCAATCACAGCTATCTAGATAACTTGCTTCATTAAACACAAGGCACGAAAGCTTGGCAGAGCTCAACAACCCTGCACCCGCAAGCCCCAAACTCTGACATTATCTCAACACTCTGTCCATTTTAGCTCTTCTCTCTCAATCGTCACTCCCTCAGGCAGTTTTTTCAGGAACAGACAAGTCCGGCTATGTGCACACAGCAGAATCCCCAGCTTGATTACAGCTCAAACATCCCCAGACCTACGACTGGACATGTTTAACTCCATCTGTGTATAGTTCTCAGAAGTGCATTCCTGGCAACCAATGAGAAAACTTCTTCCAAAAATCCTGCTGACAATACTGGTTCGTTATTTGCAGACTTGTTAAATATGCGTGAACCCCTATAGGAATGCACAGTGAACCAAAACAAGAAGCTTGTATGTAATCACAGCAAAACATACCAAAATAAATGTGGCAGTTCACTGCTTAGCACACATGGCCAATTTTGGAAATGCTAGCAGTCATGTTTACTTCAAACAGAAGATAGCACTAATGTGCCAATTTGTTGCCTCCTCTTCACTCACTGGGAGCCAACAAGCCCTTTTACAGTCATCAAATAGCTGTCTTTACTACCTAAGCTGCAAATGTTCTCTAAATCAAGGCATATCTCTTCAACTGCAACAGAACTAAGCTGATTTACATGCAAGTCTGCACGTAAATCTGCTGCTACACACAAGTAGATCTACATTAAAATTAAATGTACTGCAAAGTTTCCTGAGGAGATCCACTGGCACTGGCTTTCTGACTCTCTCTGCCTGGGCAGCTTTGTGCTTCATGTCTCTGGCCAACTTCATGTCAACACTGCGACTGGTCTTGCACAAACAACGTCCAGAATAATGTGCATTTGTCTTTAACTTGTAATAATATGAATAAACCCACCTGGAATGAGATGACGTCTTTGAGGAGGAGACAACCTCTGACTTTGAGGAGAAAACTGTGTCTGTTTTGAGGAGAGTAGTGGCCTCTTTCTCCTGGACTGGCTCATCATCAGCGTGCTCCACAGGTTCTGCTACTCGACTCCTGAGGCCCCTCCTGGTATATGTTTGCTCTGATCCATTATCCTCATATTTTTCCTTCTCCTTGGTTGCTGAAGACACTGTGTCGGATGTGTCGCCAATTTTCCTGTCTCTCCGGACATATTTGGAGGTGAATTCCTCTGTGTTGCCGTAGCGTTCGGCCAGCTCCCTCCTTCGTTCTGCCTTGTAGCGAGCGATTCGCTCAGCCTTGGTCTCTGGGGCAGAGCTCTGCAAGGTGTCTATTCCATCCATTGTGCAGTTCAATGCAGTTTGAGTGACAAAATTCAGAAGGTGTTTCTTCAAATGATGCTTTTTAAGATCTCCTGTGACAGCAATGTCTCACTCCGTCAAATTCATCCCAGTGCTGCAAACAAGGGAGAGAGACATCATTAGTACATGGTGACTGTAGAGCACAGTTTCAGATGACTGGTTCTAGAAAGTTGTGTAATACTGGACACAACAGGATGTATGCTTCTCCAGCTTTCAAAGGAAACTGGCTCAGCTGCAGATCTCCAACCCCTGCCCTGCCCTGCCCCATCCACCCCCGTCCATGCCCTCCCCACCCCCGATGAAGATGATGTCAGCCAGCTCAAAGGCAGCCGACCACCGCAGTGAGAGTCTCATATAACCTCTATTCCATCGACTCACTTCACAGAGAAAGTCAGGAGTGCACATCAAATAACATCTTTATCCCATTTTATTCCTCACTTAGCTGAGGCTTTGTTCCCAGGCTAATCACCTCTTGAAAACTATCCCCCCTCATAATGACTAAACACAATGCATGAGAAAATATAAACAGCCTGTAAATGTGTTTTTCAGTGCATTACCCCTGTTGTAGATTTGCAGCCTACGCAGGGTGACTGCGACGTCTCGAACAATGCGTGTCAGGACAGGCTTCAGGTATCTGTGTCTGTGGTAAGGATAATCTGTTTAACATCTCCAAACCACAAGAAAAGCTGCAGTTTGATCCGTTTTGATTTTTCAGTACCTAGTTACAGTTGTGAAGTAGAAAATAAGACGTTTGAGTTGAACTCAGTTTGTTCCATTAAGAATTTCACAGTGCAGAAAACCACACGTGGCTTGGAGAGGTTTGAAAACTGCAGTCATTTAAATGCGTCGCCAGCTGACAACAGCAATAATCATTATGTGTGCGCTGTTTCTGGCGGCTCCACACCAAGCACAGGGGCTTTTCCACAGACATTTCTCACGGCACAAGTATGCTTGTGATGCTTTGGGGCAGTCAAGGATAAGAGAAAAAGGGAGATGAATAAATGGAGGCATACTCGGGCTAAAGAGGGGAATGGGTAGTCCCTCGGTCTCCCTCCAATTATAAGACCATGAGTGAATTGAGCACATAAGTTCCTCAAATTGATTAGGAAATGGGAAAATATAAATGAGAGTTCTATGTCTGGACAATGTCAGTAATGAGAGAGTCAAGGTGAAAGAGGGAAAGTGAATGGGGTCACAGCAAGAGGGAAAATAGAGGTGAGTCGGGTCATAAGGTGGAATAAATGAGCTGACTTGAAGAGCTTATTCTGTAATGATGACAAGCTTGAACAAATCTCGAGTGCACCCCTTCTGGCCTCTGACCACCTGCTGGTTTATAAATACCAGCCCAGAATCATGACTCTTGGACCTCTTAAGAAAAAAAAAAAACACAGCTTTGAAATATTACACAGGAAATCGGTGTGTGTATATATGTCAAGGAATATGTGCCTGTGTGTAAGTGAGTACGTGTGTGTCCGTCTTCACCTTGACCTCTCCCATCCCTCCTCCACCTAACATAACAGTGCTGGGCTAAACACTCAGATACCACAGTGCCTCCCTTGTGTACATTTAAATGTAGTTTCAACATAAACTGTGACTCTTCTGGACAATTACACGCTGTCTGCTTATTCTTATAAGCCTGGAGATGTCTAAAACACCTACAATTCAGCTAATGTATTCTCTACATTATGTAGAAGGAAACCCACCATCTGTTTGGTACATTAACAAATCAGCACAGTTCACGTCTATTCCCGTTAGTCCACTAACAGGCATCCATACCTGATTACAGTAAGCCAGAGCAGAAACAAAAACAGACGATGTACGTACTCAGGCTTAGATGAGGATAAAGCTTGTAAAATGGAGTTTACTATGCAATATGGAAACCAAATGGCCTATTAAATATGCAGGTCTAATCAATTGGTAGCACTAAATCCACTACTACCGAGCCTGAAGCTTCTAAGAGCTCCACAGCTCGATGGGAAAAGGATGTTGGGGGAGTTGTATTATATTTCTGCTTGAGGGTTACAGTTTAGCATCTCAAAATAAATTTGGTTATACAGTCTGTGACAAAATAACACAAAATTGCCAGAAAATGTGCAAAATCCAGGAAGCAGAATAATGTGATGCTGCCTGACAAAGAGCCATGTTGCTCCTCAACAAGTAATGCAGATATCTGCAACTCGGCTTTCCTTTTGGGTTTGAAATGACTGAATGTTACTTCAAAGCAAAGCCTGTGAATTGCCTTATGAAGGCAAAAGGACCCTGAGTTTGGATGTTGATTTCAGGACTATGCACACACTTACATAATTCACCTAGGTCACTACCTATAAAAGGAGTGCTACACAGTACACTAAAGCTTGTCCGTGGAGACCCAGAACATCGAGGCTGCTTTGTTTGGAAGCTGCCTCTGTTATTTTAAGCAACAAAGGGGACTGAAAACACAGTTGTGAGTCATAGATTAAAAATCATCACTCCTATCAGCAAAACGTGGACTCACCCAGAATATTTGTTTTGCTAGGTGATTTAAAGCACCAAAACACTGCATGGTGCCTTTACCTATTTATGGTTATTTCTTCTGAAGCACAGACAGGTGGAGCAACCAGAATTATGCAGGGTCAAAGAAACACTGAGACAGCTCTGATCAAGTACTAACAGTAATAACAGAGATGATAGGTGGTTTTGGAAGGAGGGACAAAAACATGCTTCCATTTGCATTAAATTAAAATGGATAAGTAAGCTGGGTCAGCCCGACTCAAAAGGCCGTCAGGATCACACTGATAGTTACAAATGAGGTTTTCTTTTGATAAGACAGAGGAAAATATCTGTGATTGGCTTTTGTGTCACATGTGACAGTGCAGCTGTCTGGCTCGATATGTAGTCACACCAGTCCTACCTGCTGTTTCATGTGCAATATTATTTCTGCTCCTCTAGGGCATGTAAACAAACTGAATCCTCAGTTTCCAGTCACTGGAGTGTTCTCTGACCTTTCCCTGCCCATTGGGAGTTGTTACTGGCTACAAGAGGAAGATCTGTCTTAACAAAGGCCAAGTGTGTCACTTCCTAAACGTGGCCCACATCCTTCTTCATAAAAGCTCGATTAAATAGGAAATGTTACTCGAACCTGGCAAATGTCCAGAACTCTCTTGGGAGATGGGTAAAGGCAGTGAGAAAACTCTGAATTGTCTCAACAGCATGGCATCTCCTTTGCACTCGAAACAGTTTGGAATCAAGTGTCATCACTTCCTCTAATACGTCTAAGCACTGCGTGATAGTCACATTTTTAAATATTTACTTCCCTGTGTAGACGTCCAGCCATTATCAGTAGTTAGTTAAGATTACATAACACTCGTTTCAGGCCTAACAACTGTAATATACCCCAAATACAGAAGTAACAACAACCAAGACGACCAAGAGTTTCTGTTCTTTTTAATATATGTCCATGGATCCTTTTTGGTCAGATGTACTCCTATAGCCCTGTTGGATAAACCCATGTAGCCCTTCATAATCAACATCCTTTATGTGAAACTGGATGTCATTTAACCCGATTCAGAATACAGAACAATTACACAAGTGAACGTGCAGTGTGTCACAGACTGGTCGTTATTGATAAGCTGAGTCAACTTGAGCACCTGAAGAAAATGTAGTCAAATTTCATTATGTCAACGTTACTCACAGCCTGATGTCATTATCTGCAAGCAATGGGAAGCAGGTGTTTCATGGGAAATGAATACCTGTCACAGAGTTCCACAGAAAGGACACATACACGTTAACTGTGGATGTTTCTAAGATAAGGGCCAGACAATAAGCCGCCTCAAAGGCAAACGCTGACCTGTAGCCCACTAGACTGTGTATTTTTTCAGAAATCACATGTCCACACAAGAGGACAGAGCAGGAATGCAGCCCACACCCTACTTATAAACAGTGGATTTGCATGGAAAAGGGAAGGGGGATTTTGACTATAAAATATTCAGGGGACTTCTCGTAACGTGAGCAACACCCAACCTGGGGCTCAAAAACACAAAGTGACAAACTGAAGGTGTAAAGTCAAGCAAAATGCATGCAAGCGCGGTTTAGCAAACAGTTAGGGTATTGTGACATGTAGTCAGCTTTTAACCACAAAGCCCACAGCGCTCTATAAGTCATCAGTTTAATGATGGAAGACACAGCACTACTGCAACCGAAGGCAGATACAAACATGTCCATTTTTTGGCACTGCCTTTGTTCAGCTTCACTGGAATTCCCATGAGTCTTCTACCTTTATCTTTTCCTTGAAACCCTTAGTTAACACCACAGAGACTTACACCTGAAACTGCTCGCGTTTTGACAGTTATTAGGTTAAAAATATACACTTCTGCAAAGTTACACTCATGCTTAAAATGGACACTGCACACGGTACATGTTGCTTTTATTATGACAGCAGTTTGCCACTGTAAACCTTCAGGAATCCAAATAAAGTCACCACAAGCATCAGACAGACATTTAGACATCACTTTTCTTCATTGTACAAAAAAAGCTGAAGACGGATCCAGCTGCCGACACACTTTCTTCCTGAGGGAAGAGGGTGGAGAGTGGAAAGTTTGCTCTGCTGAGGAAACCAGGTGCCAGTGCAAAAACAGACTCGCGGTCCATTTTTAAGAAGGACTTTCGGCTGGAACCATAAAGGGGCAAAACAAAAGATGGAAGTATCCCATTCACTCTTTGGTGGAGAGGCAATTTCAATGCACAGGATATGTGAGGGCCTTACAAAAGCACTGTTTCCTTGCTTTGAAGTTTAGGCACATTAGGTGAATCTTTAAACACTCAAATGTTACTGTCAGTATTCCAGTGTAAGAAGAGTAACAATCAAATTCTTATTTAATGTTTATGCATCCAGAAAAAGTAGCATATCATGCTACAGTGGACAAATCGAACTAAATCAAATCAGATTATTGCCTAGAGGTATAAAAAGGCAGTTGTTCTGGGATTTGTCAGTATACAGGATGCTGCATGTTTCTCTGCATGGGTGTGTATGACTGCAATCAGGTCACGTGACCAACCATTGAAAGCAGATAGGCCTGAGTACGGGTCAACAGTCCCTAATCCAATAACTCCATCTTC